TTAACGAGGGACAGTTACGGCGTGGGACAATCGGGGCCGTCAACCATCTCCGCGGCCGACGGGGGCGATTAAAGTCACGGTGACATGCGGGTTCGATGCGGCCACACAGGCGGCATTGGCTGGTCACGCATTGAACAAAGTGCACCATATAAGGGGAGCTGTGCGCAGGACTTTCCAGTCTCTGAAAATGGGTAGACGAATCAACTACTTGAAACGTCGGACCTCCAATAAACACCTCCCGGTGAACGCCTCTTCTTCTTTTGATCAACTTGCATTCATTCGAGACACCAACAAGCATCACACTCATCTGGGACTTAACGAACTGTCACGGAAATGGCTGTTGGTTCTATTTATCCAAAGCAACGCACCGTTAAGGTGCAGGTATACGTTCCTGCTGATTAGAACGGTGGCCAAAATGAATTTTGGGTTGTCCATATCCTTCTGCAGCTTAGCACTTACTGGCCTATCTACATCCCTCTGGAGGTAGGACCTTTAATATTAGTCGGTGTACGACCCAATTGTTGTCCTCTTAACCTCCCATCCATCTCGCGACTGTCCGTCTACTACTAGATAACGCCATCCCGATTCGGTCCTGGTTCTCCGACTCCAGCGACACGGCCCTGCTCTGTCTCCTGCCGGTGCTGGATCCCCTTCGTTTCGTCACGGACGTGCGCTCCATCCTCAGTCGGAATCTGCACCGTGATCCAATGGCAATAGGCTAGTGTACGCGTATCTCGTTTTTGTAACCGCTGTTCCCTCTTCCTGCCCTCCCCCTCCTTGCAAAGTATCATTTTTGAGGCCCTTTCCCTGCCTAAGTGACGAGTGTAAACAAACCTCTCTTCCAGCCGGTTCCCCCTCCCTCCTAACGAGTGTCTTATGCTCCTGGATGCATTTTGAGTACCTGCTTCCCCTCCCCCCTTTCCTCCAGTTTTCCAATCATCACATACGTGCTGAGCGTACCTACCTTCCCCCGCCCATCTACCTGACGCAATGGCCTGACGCACATGTTTTTTGTGTGTGTCGGTGCGTAGTCTGTATTCATTTGGAAGTACCGATTTACTGTCCCCCGTCTCCCGTTTGCTTCTTGGTGATTGCAAGTTTCCCAATTACATCCCAATTGGCTACGGCTTCGGAGACCCCTTTCATGTATGGAATACTCCGCCACGATTTTGGCTGACTAGGTTCTTCATTCCGCTTCCTTGGTTGCTTTCGACTCCGTTCAACGAATGTTCGCGGCTAGCCGTTGGCTCTGAAGAGTTCTTGGAGGAGCTGCATCTTGTCCACTTTGACGACTGGAATGCTGCAATGAGTTTCCACCCGTCGGTATAGCGTGCGTGCACAACTTCGTTTGTGTTGCAGTAGGTGGTTTCTGTTGTTACTGAGCATTTGCAGCGTGTTCGTCGGTTTTCTGTAGACTGACGTCGCCAGTTTACCGTCTGGTTGGCGGCAGATGAGAACATCCAAAAATGAAAGTTTGCACTCCACTTCTTCTGCCATCGTGAACTGTAGGTCGGGGATGATTGAGTTCAATAGTTCTTCGTAGTAGCTAATTTTATCCTGATCGATGATTACGAAAACGCTGTGTGCACGACTGCTCAGTCTCTGAAGATGGGTAGAATAAACGACTGCCTGAATCGTCGGACCTCAAATTCACCTCTCCCGGTGAACGCCTCCTCTTCTTTTAATTCAGTGCTGTTAAGAAGGGCCCTATCTGACTGTGCCTGTGCCTGCGATGGATAGAATTCCTCCCAAATCATATAAAACCAATTAGCGTGGCATTCTGCTCCTACGGGGCGTGCACTTGGGTCTGTGCCAGTCAAATTTCGTTAATTTTTGCTCACGACGTTAAGCTCTGGCGAGTCATTAAGAGTCCTTGCGACCAGAGAACCCTTCAAAACGATCTGCATCGACTGCAAGCGTGGTCGGAAAATTGGCATCTGGATTTCAATGTGCAAAAGTGTACCGTCCTTCATCTGCGTCCAGCCAACTGTCATTCAAATGAGAGCCTGAGGACATATCACCTGAAAGATATTAGACTTCCCGCAGAATCTTCACAGAAGGATCTCGGTATTTAGATACAGAGCGATGTGAACCCAGCACTGCAGTGCAACAGGGCTGCACAAAACGCCATGGGAGTGCTCCATGCAATCAAAAGGACGTTCGTAAACTTTGACCAAGACATTTTTGGGAGAGTTTACGGTACCTTTGTTCGGCCTCACTTAAAATATGGCCTACAAGCATGGTGGCCATGGCTAGTAAAGGACCAAGCATGCCTCGAACGGGTACAAATTCACGCAACAAAGCTGGTAAACGGTCTAAAACGCCAATCCTACACAGACAGACTGAATTGCCTTAATTTATTTCCTCTGAGTTACAGGCAGCAAAGCGGTGATCTCATCCTCGTCTACAAGATAATACATAACCTTGAGCATGGACTTAGATTTGAGGAGATGTTTCAGTGGCACTTTTCACCCAATCTTCGTGGTCACTCGATGAAGTTACGGACAACAATGTCCAGGCTGAATCTTCGTTCTGAATTTTTCACGCAGAGGGTAGTGGAGAAATGGAACGATCTCTCTCAGTCAGTCGTGGGGGCGAATTCTCTGCAACTTTTCAAAAAACGCTTAGATGATTATTTGTGTCCCCTGTTTTCCCTCGACAGTCTGAATCTGAACTAATACCCCACAAACCCTCAAACGTCTTCTCTGCGACAATGCTACGCAAATGAATTAAGTACTATTTTAATAGCGATATTTTTATTTGTCGTGTACAGTTATTTCTAACGAGTTGACATGTAATCAATAGGGTTTTCAAAGGCTTTGCCTATTATCCATACCAAATAAAATGAATAAAATAAGTATTGTGATCAACCAGGAAAACCCCCATAATTTTATTTGGAGCCAAGGGTTACACAATATTTGTTATAATGCACAAACGATTATACAATGCGGAGAGAGCAAAATACTGGCAGCTTTGGAATCCCGTAAAACCCGGGTATACCCGAGGCCAATTCAGTGCACCAACAATCAACGTAAAGAGGGCTGGTATGTAGCCTGCTCTTACACAGTAGATATCCCAGTGGGAACTAGTCAAATCGTATTATCGTACTCGATACGTGTGTGATTGTGCAGCATAAAAAATTTAAAGGAGAATGATATTGCAGCGTATCCTGCCCGGGCCGTCATGACATCATGCCACAAACACGTGACAAGCAAACGATCAAGTTCATGACCCCTTTTCACACCTTCTTTGTGCTGATTGTCCACCCATCAGCCTATGACAGTCCCCTTGCAATATACCCGGCCGTTTCCCTAAGCCTCCTCACTTGTGCTGTCTATCATACTCAGTGCACGTCCTATTTCCAATTACCCTTCTGTTTTACATACATAACAGATATGATCAAAGGGCAGGAAGACACCCGAAGCGGGGATCGAACAGGCGGAAAATTAACAGTAGATGCTTCATGGGCACAGACGCAATTATCTATGGTGGTCGTTTCGTGTGTGCCGTAGCCGTAGTTTATCAATGATATGAGAACTGCGCAGCATTCACCGCACCATCTCCTCCCTCACTCGTCTGAGGCAGCTGTGTGGATGGAGTCAAGAAGGTCGGGTACAGGGTCGGGCGCAGTGACCGACAAGGGTAAACAACCCGTCTACGCGTGCCACGCACGTCCTGTAATAAACTAGAATTGCATAGGGACACGAACGGGATAACTCTGACCCCAACCGAGTGGGATTGTCACAGAGGTCACAATAAGGGGCCAGTGCAGCCTGACTCTCTATCCTACGAGGTGAATCGAGCACTCCCGTCAGGTGGCATGCCCTTCATCCACGTCCTTTAGCGCACCACAACAGTATCAAAGCACGTCAAATGTGTGGCGGTTGCCGCGGAGGACGGAGTCCCCGTAGTCGGGCTCACTCTCTCTTCCCACTCTCAGGCACCAATCCACTGTACGAACCAGTCAGTCATCTGATACCGCTGGCCAGACCGCACTACGCGACCTTCTGTTTGATTCTCCAGTACCAATAAGTGATTGTTACGGAAAGGGACCGACTCCCACATCAGGATGATAATAAGAAATGGGCACTGACCGAAGACTGCGTTCTCAGTTAATATAAAATATGGCGGCTGTTGTCAGGAGAGGTAGGAAGCGTCTTAACTCCAGATCCTACTCCCGCTGGCGCTCTCAAATTTCCAGAGTGTATGTAATCTTAATACCTCATTAAGAGCCATCAACCTCAGTCCAATAGAGCTCCTGAGCATGCTACTAGGGTAGGATGAATCGTACAACAACGGAGTCGGTTAGCAAGAAGTACTGCCGACAGAGCGGACGGCAATGGTAACTCAGGCACCAACGCTAGGCCGGAGGCCTAAAGCTAGGTTGTTCATGGTGGTTTGATAGCAACACCAAGTGCAAAAAATAGCCAGTCGACACCTGTCAGTAATCTGTAACTCTGTGACAGACTCCGCGTTAGATGAACCTGCGCGGTCGACTGAGTCTTTACGCATATACCATCGTAGTTTGTTTACCTGATGCGCGCAGATCGCCGCTGACAATGGTAGCCAAGTCTGCTATGCCCCTGTAGTCGCTCGCTTTGGTGTACGAAGGCGCCTGATTGGTCGAATTGTGACAGCTACTCCGTCGAGACCATACAACCGAGGCAGACAAAGTCGGCGTGGCTGAAGTGTTCGGACGCGGACAACTTGACAGATTGGTGTCCGAAACGCTTCTATCTTTTCCGCCAGCATAAACTTCGTGTTACCGCCTCCGCTTCTCTGAGAGGTTGACGAATTTGTGTTCAGCGCAATCGCAACAATCTGGCTAGCACTTCGATTGGCGAGCTAAACCAGATGAGGGTATCAGTCCACTCAGCAGGCTGTTAGAGGGAGTCCGTTCACTTGGGGGCCCCGCGGCTGCTCGTTTCCCTTCGAAGAATTTGAAGAGTGACTGGCTGGAACAGAAATCGGCGCCAATGGCTTAAGAACTAGCGAGCTACATGGTGGACATGGTTGTTCTCCGCGAGACCAGCTTCCGCGAACAGAGCCAACTGGAGAAGGTGGGTGCCAGCTACACCTTCTTCTGGAGCGACATCCCAAAGACAGATCGATCCGACGCTGGCATCGATTTTGTCATACGAAACAATATCGTAGGACGACCGTCCTGTCTGTCGCAGGACGTCAACGACTGCCTCATACCTCTCTGTCTTGACATCGAGCCCAGGCGGGTGAGGGAGGATAGTGTGTGGCATATGTTGCGCAGGTCTACGATCAGCATCAACTGATTCCTGAGTAAGTCGCGTGTGGGGCACGCGAAGACGGAACGGGGCGCCGGACACCGTCCCCAAGTTTCTCGACCCGGTAATTCTGTCCCCATTCCGTCCTCCTCTTCTCCCCTCGCAGTTTAATAGTTCTACTGAGAGTGCTACATGAAATCCCGCAGGCGACCGAGGCTTAGTCGGGTCGTTCTCCACGAAGTCAAATCATGGCCCATATTGAGGCTCAGCAGACGTCCGGGATATCCAAACGGCCCTGCTTAGGATAGCACCGCTTAATACCTCATGTGAAAGGGACTTGAAAGGATGCCTTAAACAAATGATGGGGTCACGTCCGCTGAACATTGACCGTGTCTCGCGGACGTACAAATCACGGTTAAAACAGTCAACAAATAACTACCCCGCAGGCTGTTAGAGGGATTCCGTTCACTTGGAGGCCCCGGGGTTGCTCGTTCTCATTTGAAAAAAATCTGAAGAGCGGCCGGCTGGACCAGAGAGCAGCGCCACTGACTTGAAAACTAGCGAGCTACATGGTGGACATGGTTGTTCTCCGCGAGACCAGCTTCCGTGAACAGAGCCAACAGGAGAAGGTGGGTGCCAGCTACACCTTCTTCTGGAGCCACATCCCAAGGACAGATCGACCTGACGCTGGCGTCGTTTTTTCATACGAAGCAGCATCGTAGGGCGACAGTCCTGTCTGTCGCAGGACGTCATTGACATAGCTCTGCGCCTGTCGCTTCGGGAAACCAAATTCACCCCCGTCGCCAGTATATGCGCCCCCCCCCCCCCACCGTCGCCGACTCACCAGCCCCGACGAGGCCGGAAACATATTCTACGCGGACCTGCACGCCCCACTGACGACTTTACCGAATATGGGCAAGTTGAATGCCCTTGATAACTTCAACGTCTGCGTCTGAACAGGCTACGCTGCTCGGCGAGGAGTGCTGGGTCCCATGGTCTCGGTTGCAAAGCTGTACAGAACACAGCCCTCTCCTAATCAACACATTTTTCCGTCTTCCAGCGCTGTAGACGGCAACTCGAATGCACCTTCGAGCGTGGCGCTAGCGGCTGCTGAACTACGCCGTAATTTGGAGACGAAGGCTGCCAAATGACACTTCAAAGTAGACCACTCACTCAATTCACCTGTGTGTTTGTGTCAAATGATCGGCTGGTAGACTGAGTCAGGCTGTGATGGATCCTTCTTAATGGCTCTCTCTCGCACACATGCGAGGTGCGAACCGATTCCCCCTCGGTGTGCGTTTGGGGACCCGGTCATGAGTGTGGCGCGCGCAGATGGGCTCTCTAACTTGGTCAGCCACCGCAGCCACTTCCCACATTAGACAACGGACCGACTCAGATAGTGGACTGGTGCCTGGAATTAGGATGAGAGATCGCAGTCTCTGCGCATATTCCTCACTGTTGACGCGTTTAAATCTATCACAGTACGCTAAAAGCTATGGCTTAGAAGGCTATCAACTGACGGGATAACTCGAGTCAGCCCAGTGTGTGCGGGTGTGGAGTGACCGACTGGTGGTCTGAGTCAGACTGCGATTGATCTTCTTAGTGTGGCCTCTATGGCACTCCCACTCAGTGGGATCCGAGTCGGTGTGTTGACGTGCACTTAGGTGCGGCTTTTCGCCCCGCCAGTCACCTGCGTCCTCACCGGCCTCCGGTTTCCTTGACTCTGTCCTGACAGCGAAGTCAGGTTGGGAGGAGAGAGTGTGGTAGATGCTTCACAAGCCCGCCATCACTTTTAAATAACCCACGCGCGGGTCACCGTCCCTGTTCTCACCATGCTGTAGAGCACACTGTGGACATCACCGGCACGACGGTCGAACTGTTAAATGTGTAGACGTTTATTCCTAATCTGCGCATTTCTTGCCAACTATATCACAACAACCACCTCGAAAGCCTGCTCGGACATTCTTAGGTTTTGACGTTTCACGCAAAGATGATTAGTCTTTCACATTCCACAATACGTAAAAGTGCGTATCAACATTTCATCGGGAGGAAAAAATAATTCCGGCAGACAAGAGGTTGTCAGTGGATTTGGCCACCAGCGTGGTAATTACTCGATTTTTTTTATTTTCTTAGTGACTTTCCCTCACGTAGTGTTAACAGGTGCACTCACCTACTCCGTGAAGACAAATTTGATGGGCTGAACATGGAAGGTGAGAAGGGGATTCAATCGTTGGAAAAGCAGCTATTTCTTTCCACGTGTGATGTTTCGTATTCCCAAGCCAACTCATAATCAAAGAGTGCCACAGACAAGGGTGAAGGAAACACAGGCGTGCTGTATTCATAGGAAACTGTCACGCAAGCACACATCAGCAGCTCTCGAATTCATCGATGATGACTGCCTGTCCGGTCCCATTCTAGTAGTTGATAACCGTAATATTATCGCTGAATTTGGCTAGTAGTAGTTTGAATCTGGACGCTTGCTGCAACGCTGCGCCCCTCACGAGTGCCTGCACATGTGTACCAGTGGCAGTACTGCCACCCCTGAGATTTCGGTGTTTGATTTTCGATATACTGGAAGACCACCGCTGGCCAACTGAATTTCCATATCGCAAGCTGAGTCAACTACATTCTTACTTATAAGTCTACGTTGTTGTTTTTCCATGCGGACGTGCACACACCCGCTACCCATTGGGGCAACCTGTAGATCACAGGCCGCTTCCAAGAGTGTTCTTGGGTAGTTGGGGCAAAATTGGCTTACAAACAGCCAACAGGGTTCGTATGGGGGCGTGCGCAACCTTGAACTCCAGCACCCATTCACGTAATCGTTTGACGTATAAGTCGCCCAATGCAGCGGTTACGATCCCCCGGTTTTCTGCGTCTGCAGGCGCTCCTGTATTAGTCCTCAGGACAACACTTACGGCCGACGAAGTGTTCCTGTCCTTCTGCATAGGCGCTAAGAGTTCTGAGTCGCCACATAACGTGCTTACAGAGCGACTTTGCGACTTGCGTCTGAGTTTAACAGCCTCCACAATTTCCCGGAAAGCCTCGTCTCCATACCTCTTAATACGACGTAATCGTGTTCTCTGGGATTCCTGCCTAAACATGGTAAACATAGGAACAGCAAACAATAGGTATAAATTAATAATGACAGGGAAGTGCAAGGAGTGTCACGTCATGCGTTCCACGCCGCTCACGCGAAATAATGGCGCTCCCGCGTGTTCGCGCAATCGAAATGCGACTAAAGAACGGCAACCAATGAAATGGCATATTGCATAAACGAGGTAGCCAATTACGTGACAGACATACATATCTCGATAAATCGCTATTCACTCGATATCTATTGCTACTAGGGGTCTGGTTCTCGGCCAATCATCATCAAGGTGAACCCAGACAGGCTCTCGCTCAGTGCGTTTTGGCACATTCCCATTGTTACTCGGGACGTCGCTATAACGACGGCGACGTGTCCTCGGCCGGCAGCTCACATATTTCAACCGATTCCCTAACCGTTCTGCGCAGAATACAGTAAGGTCTCAACCGAGGTCCAACACCGTATTCTATTCCGAACCGGACCTGAAGATCGCGAACTCTCTCCCCACTTCCAGGCACCAGCCCACTGTCTGAGCCGGTCAGTTGTCGAATGCGGGAAGTGGATGCGACGGCTGACGGAGACAGAGAGCCCGTCTGCGCGCACCGTACGCGTGACCTGGTCACACGGGTCACCTCACGACATACAAGTAACATTCTCGTCCCCGCGATCGATCCTCATTTTCTTAACTCATACCCCGGAACTCGCCTTTTCGTTTCTATCGGCAGTGAAGGAAAGCAGACACTACGCCTGATGACCTGCGTGAGGGGGGATCATCACTGAGGCAGCTGGTGTTCTGCGCTTGTCACATCTCGCTAGTTCGTCCTTACTAAACGTGAAGATGTGGCCGGTACGGCGGTGAGATGCACTTGGTACCAGACTTTGTCATAAGGTTTAGTTTTAAGATTAAGGCATGTTATTGGTTTTAGCTTCCAGTCGAAATTTTCGAAAGTTTATTTGGCTAGATCGCAGTTGGTAGCCAGACCCCGTATTACAGGTGGCTGGGGGTTTGCTTACTGGGGCTTTTTTGTGAGGCTACATAAGCACATCTGATCCATTTGGCTTCCGTTATACGTTCGAGGTTAGGATTAGGGGACGGGTTAATGGTGTCCGATTTTCGGGTTAAGGTTATGCCCTTTAGACTTAAGTTTTCGGGTTACGGATAGAGTTTAAGTCTACGATTAAGTTTGAGTATTACGGTTTGGTTTTACAGTTAGGGCTATGTCTAAGGGCTACGGTTAAGTTTACGATTTCGGTTAGGGTTAGGGTTAAGGTTGCCGTTTGGGGTAAGGGGTAACGTTTAAGGTTAAGGTTAGAGTTAAGGTCAAGGTTAGAATTGGGGTTAGGGTCGCCGCCCGCTTCCGCATTCCTGGCTACCAACTGCGATCTAACCGTTTATTTTTGAACAAGATTAGAGACCTGGACGAAGACAGATGTATCTAACTGAACGAACAATTATTGCGCAAGTTACCAGTGATGGTGAAGAATGCGGGAACTCCAAACTGGGATGCAGTCATTGTATTTCCACGATCTGTCAACCACTTGTCTCCAATTCCCTCATCAAATGACTGACGTGGAGAGGACGGAGAGTCAGGATGCAATGACTCAGTCGAGATCGGAGCCGCCCCTATGTTTATGCGAAATTCCGGCACACCTTGCACGGAGCGGGTGGGTGGCACATGAAGACGGGGTGGTTAGTCTCGTCAGACACTGCGCCGGATCCTGTCCCCGGGTTTCTCGACTCTGTCTTGACATCGAGACCAGGCGGGTAGGGGGGAGGGGAGAGAGTGGAGCTTATGTTGCGCAGGTCTACGATCAGTATGAATCAATTCCCGAACAAGTCGCGTGTGGGGCACGCAAAGACGGGACGAGACGCCGGGTTCCGCCCCTCGGTTACTTGACTCTGTCTTGACATCTGAACCGGGAGTAGAGAGTGTCACATACGCTATGCAAGTCCGTCACTTTGCGGGACACACGGCGGACATCGTCGGTCGGATTGTCACCTTTACCTGCTGTTGTTCCTGGTGAAAGGTTCGTGCATGAATCTGCAACATCAGACAAATTAATTTCTTGCCCAGACGATCGAGGCCCCTTCTTCGCAAGCATTTCTTAGAAAGTGCCCTTCCGTACTTCCTGCAGGAAACACCTATGTTGTAGCTTCGTGTCGGGCAAATCACTGTGCCTAATCGGTATCATCAGCGGTTCACGATGAAGTTGAAAAGAACGTAATTCAGACGTAGTGTAGGTTCTCTCCGTCACAATCCAAATCACACACATGTCATCCTAGTTAATAAATCATTTAAAACGCCAACTTCCTCCAACTTGAAGTTAAGAGAAGAGGTTGAGATTGAATTCCATAGGCGGCCCCGGCTTACTCCGGTCACCGTCTAACTACATCAAGTTTCTAGCCATATGAAAAGGTTGAAGCCCGACTTCTAAGCGGCCCAATTTATGGGAAAATAATTAGAGAAGGAAGCCTAGAAATGCCGGTTCATGTGGTCAGTACAGCTGGCCATGGCTGCTAGGCATGACACGTGTAGGCATGACGCAAACTACAAACACCCCGCCCCCTCTTTTGCGAGAGTGACTTCGTTCATTCTGACGGACATTGCCGTCCTCAACAAGGTCCAGTCCCGAGAACAAGCACACCTGAATGAAATAGGGGCAGAACACCGTTTTTTCTGGAGCGGCCGTCCAGATAGAGGCGTTAAGTTAGATTCGTGCTGGAAATCGTAAGCGTCAGCACGTCGCCGGATGGTGGGCAAAGACATTGTCCTCAGCGACTTCAATGTCCACGTATGCCGGGTCCCACCACTTGGGAAGCAACGTTTGGTCTCTATTTAGTAGGTCAGTGTAATATCAGTAAATGCCCTCTACAGAACATGACATCTGCCTGAGCAACACGTCCAAGTGCGCGAAAACCATGAGGATGCGCCATCTTTCGCGTCACTGACGTCTTCCGGACGATAGGCTCTTGACGGGACTCGTTCGCCGTCACCAGCTAACGATATGCCCAGAGAACAACTTGGAGCAAACGCAGGCCCTGGAGGATGAGGCCGTTGGAAACAACAGACGTCGCTCAAAAGTGCTTGGATCTGCAAAGCGAAGAACAAGGAGGGCAAGTGAACTCTGATAGGACGACTCTGTCGACAGAGAAAGAGTGGTTTCCAGTACGCTGACACAGAGCCTTATGCGGGGAAGTCATTCATTTTAAGCGGGAACCAACGCTAAAGTTAGTCCGTCCACCCTCTGGAAGACGACCGCGCCAGCACTAATGTGCGGTAGGCGTTCTGGATGTTGACTCAACTATGACAGAAACTTACATGCCTGATAGCTATCAACCCAAAAGCCAGTTGGTCTTACTGTTTCATGCACGCAAGCGAGGATAGATCTCACAGAAATTGTAGGACATCACTATTGTGCATCCCACCAGGCGCTTTGTCTGAGTTATCCGAATTTACGTCTGAAATAAGGGCCCCTTTAAGGGGCCTATCGTAGATTCTGGGAACAATACCAGCCCCCAATAGAAGCGAAAAGACGAGTCCCAGGAAGCAGTCTTGAAGTAGAAGACACGATCGCCGGGACAAGAGCTTTATTAGCCTGACGTTTCGGATTCCTGCTCGAATCCATCATCAGAGACATAAGCAGATAAGGGTGATTCATGCACATGTGGCTGCAGTATTTATAGGATGCCGTAGCCATGCCACCGCATACCTATGAATGTTCACGGCTCCCTCCCCTTCATCAGGGATCGTTGCACGCGGCGTGATGGTCGATATTCGAGTCGTTAATTGCTGCAATTTCATCACGTGCGTTGGATGTTGGTGTGATGATTGCTCGACCATCTGACGCGCTGACCCGGGTGTTGGGAAGAGTGTTCATCAGGGCGCTCCCCGCGTAGCCAATTTCTCCGCCTAGACGAAGTCTCAGCACGCTGTATTGAATGGGAAGATCATTGCACTTGTTAATAGACTGGGGGCCAGTGAACCATGACTCAAGCAGCTCCCGGCTCACGCGGTTGTCACCTCTTGCGAGAATTTCGGCCTCGTCAAATTTGAATGTGTGGCCGGAACCCGTCGAATGAGCCGCAACTTGGGAGCTGGCGTCATTTCTCCGCACTGCTGCAGCGTGTTCGGCCATTCGCGTTCGGAGCTGTCTTCCGGTTTCTCCGACGTAGTTGCTTTGTCCGCAACTGCACCAGATCCGATAAACGACTCCAGACGTTTCTTGCCGTGGCAGTGGGTCTTTTGGTTTCATCAATTGACGCCTGATGGTTGTCTCTGGCCTGTGTGCAACTCCAACCCCCAGCGGTGCGAGAAGGCGGCCAACAGCTTCCGAAACGTTCTTGACATATGGAAGCGCTCGCCAAACTTTGGTGTCCCTGCGGTTAGGCCGTTCGTCCATTTTGTGTATGCACCGGTTGACAAAGTTGCTCGGGTAGCCATTGGCTTTGAAGACCCGTCGGAGGTATTGTAGTTCAGCAATTTTTGTCTTCCGGCTCACTGCAGTGCGTTTCGACACGCCGATAGAGCATCCTTACACAACTGCGTTTGTGGCTGATTGGGTGGTTACTGTTGAAGTTCAGTACTTGCATCGTATTTGCCGCTTTCCTGAACACTTTGGTCTTTAGTCCACCACAATCCTTGCGGCATACGAGGACATCCAGGAAGGCCAGCTGGTTGTTCTCTTCCTCCTCCATCGTAAATTGTATGTCCGGGAAGACCGCATTCAGACGTTCCTTGAATGTCAGCAGTTGATCCCGGTCGATAACGACGAAGGTATCATCCACATACCGGGCCCAGAACGTCGGTTTGTGGTGTTGGAAGACCAGCGACTCTAACCGTCGCAGGACCGCCTCGGCGATGAACCCCGAAATCGGCGAACCCATTGGTGTGCCCTTCACCTGTTCGTAGATTGTCCCGTCGAACGTGAAGTACGTCCTGAGACAGAACTTCAGGAGCTAAAGGACTTGAGCGTGTCCAAGACGATTCTCCGTTTCATCGTATTTGCTTTGTAGAAGCAGCTCGATTGTCTCGACCGCCAGGTCCTGGGGAATAGATGTAAAAAGGGATGTAACATCAAAATATACCATGACCTTATTTGGATGGAGGTTTACGCCTTTGAGTTTCTCGAGGAATTCTGCTGACGAAGAGACCGTAGTGTCTGACTCAGCGGTCAGGAACTTGAGACGCCGGAACAGCCACTTAGCCAGTCCGTACGTTGGAGTAACTTTGAGCGGCACGATGGGTCGGAGAGGAGCGCCGTCTTTGTGCACCCTAGGGAGGCCATAGCATTGGGCCAACGCCGTATCTTGGGGTCTCGCCATGCGTCTGTCGGTCGGTGTTATTGCACCTGAGTTCTCCAAGGCCAACAACGTAGCATTAATTTCGCGTGTCAGAGCTTTTACAGGGTTCGTTGCACATGGGTTCGTTGCACATCGTCAGATGGTCGAGCAATCATCACACCAACATCCAACGCACGTGATGAACTTGCAGCAATTAACGACTCGAATATCGACCATCACGCCGCGTGCAACGATCCCTGATGAAGGGGAGGGAGCCGTGAACATTCATAGGTATGCGGTGGCATGGCTACGGCATCCTATAAATACTGCAGCCACATGTGCATGAACCACCCTTATCTGCTTATGTCTCCGATGATGGATTCGAGCAGGAATCCGAAACGTCAGGCTAATAAAGCTCTTGTCCCGGCGATCGTGCCTTCTTCTTCTTCAATACCAGCCCCGCTAGTCAGTTAACTTCACGATGGCATAATGGCGCGCGTAACCAAGAGACCAACCTCGGCGGCCTTACCCAAAGCAAGGTGAGTGGACCAGAGTTACAGACCCGTCTCCTCTCTCTAGCTCTGCGTTTTCTGCGAAGTTAATGGAAGCCTATTATGAGCAGTGAGCAGGGATCGACACCCGTTATCGAACCGACGCGGCAACTTTTGGTGCCGTCGTATGCGGGTTGTCGTGAATCTCCAAAAGCTAGTTCAGTGGCCGCTTCGTAAACGATTCCGACCTGAATATCACAGTTTGATTGGTGCGAACCCCTTCACTTCCGAATGCAACATCGAACTGGATGCAGGTACGAGAATACAGTAGCCGCGTGCCAACTGACACCGACCGTCCAGTACATGTCGAAATTGTAGTCGCTTTCAGGGGTCACTGCCTCACCGCTGCGGACAAACTCCTCTGCCACAGAATCACTGTCTCAAGAAGTTCCAAGGCTGAAGCGGAGTCCACAACCCAGAAAGTAAAATTTTCGTTAGGTTATAACCAGACCGGAATCGCTGCGGCATGATTAACAGCAAACCGAATGAGCATAGGACCGTCGCTCGTACGTCCCCTGTGGCCGGGCAACTTGGAAAATCCCCCAAAAATAATGTCCAAACCCTGACACTACTACCACGGCTGCCTGCAGAGGATATCGACGGTGAATTCACGAGAACAGACCTAGGTTGGAGAGTTTCACAGGCCGACTGGCATTCTTAAATACTTCCACCGCAGAAACAGACCCTAACACGACAAACAGGATATCGTGGCTGTCTATAGCAGTCGTTAGCTTTCGCCAAAAAAATAACGAGAACGCCACGACGAGGCTCTTAAAGTCATGCTCGAGTACTTCGTGACCAACTAAGAGTCGCAGAGGGGGGCGCCCGCACAGGACCCGCAGGCGTGGTGGACTGTCTCGGTTGAGGGAGCACTAGTCTCCGAGGCCAAACTCACACAGGAAGCCAACGAGAACGCAGGGCGAGAGCACCATGAGATGTCCGACTCCCCGGTGTGACCTCTCTCCCGACACACGCTCAGAGGTCTCTACAGTATCCTTGTGTCCATTGCAGCGCCACCATTAGTGGCATCGGCACCACATCACAAAATACATAAACTTTGACCACTGTCCATGACCGACTACAGAGCATTCTCGGGCCGGCCCGCATGATCCTGCCTCCTGGACCAACCGCGTCACCAGCGTCCGAAACATCGCAGCCTCTGAAGCCGTACGACTTCAGTTCACTGAGTTGGACCCGAAAACATGACCGTACCGGCCTGTCTTATACAATGGCGTATGCTGCCTCAGGATGGATCACTCGGCGCGGCAGCAGCGAAACATGGATCCACGCGTATTGGCCATAACTACCACTTCCATCTCTTCGTTCCTTACCATAGTTCGACCCATTAACACGTGCCATCCTTTCGACAGCCGGACTTGCCACGCGCTGCGATTGTTCCTTACACCCCCAACTCTCCACTTTGCACACGTTTGGGACTGTGCGACAGATTAGTTTCCACCTCAACCCTGACCACCAAACTCCACTAATCACTCACGCGGCAGTCGCGGGTCGGGAAAGGTTGCCATCACCGATTATAATGGGCAAACTGTCGGTCGGTCTGCCCGCAGGGCTCAAGCTCTGGCAGCCGCAGTCAAGAGCGTTGACCGGAAATCATAAGTCGAGACGCCCACACCTTCAGATTTAGTGACGATATTCCCACGCGTCTGGAAGTCAGTCGTCCGGGTAACCGTAAACTGGCGCTGACATCGCCCCAGCTTAGATGAGTGACGCCGGCATCAGAGCGGAAAAGCCTCCCGTCGGAAACGAATCTTACATTGGTGCCAGGTGTGTTACCACTATGAGGACTACTACGTAGCTAACAAAGTAGGTGAGGCCATGCATTAGCACGTGGCCAAACCGCAAAATCTTTGCGATCGAGGAGACAGTAACATCTGTAGGCTTAGGAGACAACAACAGTGGAGGGTCGCCGCCGGGCCTACGGTAGTCTACCGTTGACTGTACGTTTGACCACTGCTGGTCCACAACCAGAAAATCAAAAGCACCCGTGGACACTTGTCGAACTTATGGTAATCGTTGTCGGGCGCAGCTAATCACAAGGCCGCAAACGAGATTTCATGTATCTCAAGGTCTTCAAACTCAAATCTGGGGATAAGCTACTTGAACCTTTGACCGGAAGCTTAAGGCCTCCGTCAATGTGCTAGGGCGGTTCGAAGGGGTAGCATCCTGGGATCTATCCCTCCGATGCACGTCTTGAAGCAGAGCCGGCTGCGAAGACTGATACCCCACCATGTCAGAGGCCGCTCTTCCTGTTGAAGTGGATCATAGGCGAGAACGAGTTTCAGGGACTGGGCCAAAAACCTCCCGTCTTGGACGTCTGACTGTGGGCCTCGACTTGTAAACACCTGGAAACCAATTACGAATTTACACTAAATGCCCCCAACGACTCCTGGGAATGGCAAAAGTTCTCAGGCAAATGCCCTCGCTGGGGAAGCGAGGACAGGGTGAAACTGACCTGCGGTCCACCTAGTCTACAGAGATCGTGAGCACGCGGCTGATCACTGAGGAAGCTGGTCACTGTACCGGGAAACAGACACCCCATCCCGCGTGCGAAGTACTTCCGCCCACGCGCACGCGAGAACACCCCTCACACGAACCTCGGGTACCGACACCGGATCGCCTATCGGCTGCTCTCCCACATCTACTCCGTACCTCGGGTGGTAGCCCCACAACCGCATCTCGCTTGGACCTACGTAGGTGTGATGACCAGAATCACCACCCGAACCTCTCCAGGTCTCCAACTGGCCAACAAAGCGACATAAGCTCGCTACCACGAAAGACGTCCACGCGTGCCCTTGTTGAGAAATTAGGCTACTGGCAGCGCGAACTGATCATAATAGAGTCCTGTCACGACCTTCGCCCTCCGTCAGCAGGCCTCAGTGAGGACACCTCGACAAAGGCCGAGTTGTGGTCTGACAACCTGTCCCAGGTGCAAAAAATGAGACCCCGACGAGAACTGCTATCGTAGCATCTTGGATTGCAACCACGACCGCCTTAAATCGAGTCAGGCGTCAAACTACAACCTACAGGCTAAGTTGCCGAACCCAGAGCGTAGACACCAGCCGAACGTGCTGACTACTGCGGCATTGTCCGGCAAGTGTCAACCAGCCTGTGGCACAGGTGAAGTCATTAGAACAGCGTAGCGTCCCTGGGTTCAGACCTAGACACGCGGACGTCCCTGCAGATGCTGTTGGGAGCATATCGCGCTGCTAGCATGGATTTGCTTACTGGGGGTTGACACTGCAGATCACCCCCGAATTCCGCAACTGCCAGCAACCAGCCGTTGCCACCTCGGAATAGTATCAGATCCTGTCCATCCTTAGGTTCTGCGACAGACAACGGGGCCAAACAACTCACTGAAAGAGCATGGCGGAGGCGTTCACCCCACTACCGGCGTTTACGCACACCCAACCGTGCAATAGTACGTTTCGGACCCAACGAAACCCCATTCTGCGACTCGCCACTTAATCTTGCTGACTGGCCTCGCGGGCATTGCGCATTCATCCCGCCTAGGCTTCGCTGACACACCCTCACTGACACCGCGCCAAGATTGTCTACAGGATGCACCGCCTAGTGCAAAGGACGTCTTTGAACCAGTCGGTCTACCGAGTCAGTGTCTCTATGCTGTATTCCCGACCAGTGTGGACCCTGATTGATGAATGCGTACCTGCTTTAAAAGTTTCAAACTATGGTCAAACGGACGGTAAGAACATCGGCATCGGGTCTTCCGAACCCATCGACTACGCTTATAGACCTATTCCGATATCTCAATCGCCGTAAAACCGCGTATGCGCACCCACCAACAGTTAAATGCCAAGCTGAGGGAGAAAATAGTGAAATTGGACATTTAAAAGCCCTACCTGCGGACGATCGCTCGTCCACAGTGACACTCCCGAAGCTATCCCAGACACCTGGGATAGGCAACTAGAACGAAGTGGGTGCATTCCTTACTGCTTCCCCAAAATTTCGGCGTCGCCGGCCTAACACGATCTAGGGCGACACACGTTGGCGGCAAATACGGCGTATCACGGCTCATCAAGATGTGATGCCGGCTGGCCCACGGTGTATGGCCAGAGGCATTGAAGAAGTGTGTGCACCTCTAGAGTCGGTGCAGGCGAGGCACCTTCCTTGACACGAAATCGGCAAACTAGAACGGTAACAAGCATGTAGCTGACCCGAATAATTCATTTTGCAATCTCAGAGCCACGTGCATGTTTCCTTCGCCTTCTGCTGTTCTCCAAAACGACACATCGAGATCATGAACATAAAAATGGTCCGGGAGTGCCTGACGGCACACTTGTACATGTTAGGCTGAGTTAATACTGGCATGCGACAACTGCTACTTAGTGTATAACCAGACGCCTGTGTCCGTTATAATAGTGCGGGCACAAAAGGCCACCAGGCAAAGAATGGTTGGAAAGGTCTGAGTCCGATTTATCAGTCTCGGGAGTACAACACTGTGACCCTGAGCAGGTGTCATGGATTGAGACTAGGTCTACTTAGTCCGTCTTTACGTGATTAGGTAGATAACGGGGTGGTTCGCAGCTGTACCTAAATAACTAGGCATGCTACTGCTGTTGTATGTATGGCACGCATCACCGCCGAGACCAACAAGTCGGGTCCTAGCGACCACAAATGTGACTCGCCACGCGTACACCAGCTATCCATAGCAGGCACAGCCGCTCCCAAGCAAGGTTATAGGCATAAGGACGATTCCAAAATTACGCAAGATGCCTACGTTGTTCGTCACTAGGCACGCGGTGTCCAGGCATCGCAAGAACAGGGTGGGAGGGAGGAGTTTATTTGAAGATATAAAATGCGATGCGAAATTGTAATTCTGAATACTTTTGAAGGCATCAAAAATACATCAAGAGATCCAACCTTGGGAAGACCCTGTAGCTCATGGACAGTCAAAAAGCGGAAAAACTGATGCGTTGGATTCCACTACGCTCTGTCTACTAAAAGATACAGAGAGGAGACTGATGAAGAAAATCCTGGTTTGTCAGGTAAAACAAGTACACATAACCAGAAATCCCTCCAAGTCAGTATCGTTGTTTCGCAAACGCCTAGACGCGCACCAGCCGACCAAAATAGGTCTTCACATGGTGGCATCAGTCAATAAAGCCATTAAACCCGTGCACTTATGATCGTGGTTAGGAGTGGTGGAAAGCTATGGCGTCTAAGCCCTGTCTAATAACAACCACCTGATAATTAATTTTTTGCCCAGAAAACAAAGGATGAAAGCGAGTAGTAGATCAGCAGTTCCAAAATCCATCCGAATTACGATTGCAGAATTTTTTCCAATAAACGAAACCCTGGCCAGAGGTAAACCGGGGAGCTGACGCCGGCACATCACGCCGAAAGATGGCGTAGAGTATGGCAATCGTCCGTGAGTGCAGTCGATTGAAGTATATAGTACGGCGCCACAGCGGCGGCGGGCGGTCACCCAGAACCACCGGTAGAGCGGCGTCCCAGTGGGTAGACGGCTGGAAGGGCGGAACACGGAGATAGTGGCTAAAATCATAGCTGTTCACTCCGACGACGTGCCTGACGAGGTTGAAGTACGGTCATTGGTCGCAGCGCGCAGTCCGCAGCAATGGCTTTTTTCGCTCTTAGCGGGCTGTTAGCCGAACACCCAGGAGCAGATTCACTAAAATGGCCTACGGCACAAGGTCTAGACGCGCATAAGGCAGCTATACCCTACTAGTGACACGTCAGGACGGTGGTGCTAGCCGATAACCGCGCTCCCGGTGAAGACTGACACCGAGTGGACAAGACGCCGGCTAGTTGACACAAAGGCTTATGTCGAGTGGGATGAGTCGGAGGATTTAGATCACAGAACGCGAGAAGACGGGGATATGAGCCAGCAACACCAATGCCCTCCAGCCGGACCAGAAATAGTTCCAACAGACAAAATCCGACAGCAGGGATGGAGGGCGTCCCTATATTCCACGGAAGCCATAGCGGTAGTGTTAAAGTAGGAAGCGGTTTATCAGCTCGTGAAACGGTTGTGACGCGAGGTTCTTGCGGCAAGAATCATGCCACAGGGGGGCTGAAGCAAGCTAGTTGAGACTAAGATGAGTGCGGAGTGACCAGCGTGAAGTGAAATGCGCAGTAGACTGACGGAAGACCTGTAAGAGAAGTACACAGAAGACCGAACGGAACGAGGCAAGGTCCACGTGGACGAATGTAGTCTTTGTTTGCGAGTTGTTTGGCCTGGAGAAACTGGGAGGCCCAGACCGACGCTGATGTGCGTCGGTAAAGCCGTCCTCGCAGACACTGAAACAGGCCCAGTATGTGTGCAAGGTTGCGGGCGGTTTGGCGCCTAGATGTTTCACCCTTCGGGGGAGAGGTCAGAGCAGCATACTGTGAAGGACCGGAAGACTGAGATTACCAGGCCTCAGTTTAAACCATGCAGGACAGCGGACGCACGCAGTGCACAGCAAACAGATAAACAAGAATAACGTTAGGTTAACTGCAGCAGTCCACGTGGGTCCGATGAGGCGATCGACACACTTATTATAGGCTGATGAGCAGTTTGACCAGGGAAAAGAGGGTTTGCACTTCAAATTTGCGTAGGAAGATTTATTTGAGAAGAAATGTGTAAAATGCGACGGAGGTCTTTTAAAACGACGTGTGCGTGCCAAGACCGTTTTCTTATCGTCTTCTTCTGTCATCCCTGGAACTTCTTGGACGTTCCACGTCATGGCGGCGGTCACTGGGGGAGACTCCTCGACGAACGGGGGATACACGTCCCCGAGGCTGAGAGCGACCACCTCGGCTGTAGTCCCGACGGTCGTAAACATCATAAGGAAATGAGTCGCGACCGCCCCTGGTCCGACTTGCTGTCCTGTCCACGGGACTTCGACTTCTGCATTAGTACAGAGCAAAAGCAAAAGCTCAAGTGTAAACTACGAATTAACAGGCCACTTCTGTGTTGATATCTCGCGTTAAACGAAGAATCAAAGCCCGATAAAGTAAAAGTGGGTTAAGCGGGTGGGCGCATACTAGTACCAAACGATGGTCGACTGTGGGTGAGAGGCTATATCCGATCCGTAAACGTCTAACATGCATGATGTCGCTGACGTCCTGGGGAAGAACCAGGTAGTAACAAAAAGAGCTACACACTGCCAGCTTGCGGCATGTAGTACGGTTGAATCAAGATGAGGGTGTGATTAGCGGATGCAGCTGCACGTTCTACGTCGTGCTAGGAAGGGTGGAAGCTTTTAGCAGCATCAGGGGTCCAAGGGCTGAATTCACGTTGGAAGAAAACGCCTGGCCACATGGTGCAGTCCGCGGAAGAATAATGACGGTCTGTCGGTGGATGCGGCGAAAAATCCCACAACGAGGCGCAGTAACGTGGAAATGGGCAGAGGGATGTGATTACCTGCGGCGATAGTCGGGTGAAGCATCTCTGTGCAAAACTGGTGACCGCCGACGATGTCCTTGCAATCCTCTGAGAATTTCCTCGGGGGGAATGAACGGAAACACAGGCGGGTAGCCGGGGATCTGATAGGGAAAGCCGGCCGCCGCAGCCGCAGCAGCGGCTGCACTTGCCACGTCAGGAGTGTAGAGGGAGGCTAGTTGGCCGTAAGGATAACGCGGAGGATCGAGGTGGCCGTTGCGCGGAGGCGACTTTGTACGCCTGCGTGGAGAACTATACCGACGCTGGGAGGAGCTGCGACCGTTTCGCGAGTCCGAAGTGGCAGGACGACGCGTATCCGGAGCACGCGGAACACCCCCACCTCCAATGGAAGTTGACGGACACGAGGCAAGATGAAAGGAGACAGCAACCAGTTATGCGACCAACACCACGGGGATGATGGTTAAAGGAAGTTAATGGCATATCACCTGGAGGCCTAACCCTAGTCCACTTAGTGTGCCGCAGAGTAGGACTACGAGCCACGGCGCAAGTAAATTTGGGTTTCAAATGGCAAAATCTAATCCTGCCGGTGCTTTGTCATCCACGGCGTGCTACGACAGGAAACTTACCAGGCCTAGGTTTGGCGTGGGCGAATTCTACACGCAGCCTTGAGTCGCAGACTGTTATTCCGTCTAGGGCCCGAACAGCTTTTTCGGCGTCAGCAGCTTTTTCGAATTCGACAAACGCAAATCCAGGTGGGTTGCGAGCGAGCCAAACATCACCTATGGCTCCAAATTTTCCAAGCTCGCGCATCAAGTCCTCCTTTTCGACAGAAGCCGATAATCCGCCAATGTACAATTTGTGCCCCCTACCTACATTTAATAATTATACGGGAGAGCGAAAAACCACCTGAAGACATTGCGAAACCGTCAAATGCGATCGGCGTAATTAAACAAACAGCAGAAGATCTACCCCGGCCAAGTAGCTGTTACAAAGCTGTTTGATGGCCTTTGTCGTCCGGCCACCCGTAAACTAAGCCTTGCCTTACCGTCAAGATAGCCCAATGGTCCTGAGGAGGAAGAACACTAGAGTTCACCTTGCAATGGAAAGGACCCGCAGACGTTATGTGATAGTTTGGTAGTGTGAAGTACTCTGTATCCAGAAGGTCATCATCGGTTGGTTCGTACGGTAACAGACGATTATTTTAGACGACATTCTTCCCCTTCCCCCTCTTCAGAATTCGCGATCACGTGGGCTCGGGCTATCGGCTTCAGCTGTAGCCACACACTAAGTAACCCCAATTGGGCATGACTGGGCTGGTGCTGGCATGGTCGTATAACTTTTCTCTAACTGCTTGTTTTCGTCATCATAAGTTTGTTTTAACGTTTTTTTCTTCAGTTTGCACAGAGTAACATTTTCCGTATTATCTTACCGACTTCCGACTGTACTCTCTATTCATTAATCCTTACGAGTTCCACCCCATCTCCAGAGTAAGTCCCTTACTATTTTGTATATATTCGCAAATAAACTGTTTTCCATTAATGTACGCATCCTGTTCATGCTCCCTAAATTCTATGCCGGCGTATACGAAGAGTTAACCCAGCTTATAGACGAGATCTGGCGATCAGCTTATCCGGGGACCCTAAACCTGTTATCCAGTCCATCGACAACGGCCAGCCCCAGCCTACACTATCCTACTCGGCAGCTACATTGGTGGCAGCAGTGGGATGGTGGGGATCACACACCTCGCTGCCTTCTGAGCATAAAATCCAGCGACGCTGAGGGTGGTGCCTCCTCTCGGGAGGAGGCTATGTAACGACCCACGATAAGTGTACAGTCGCTTGAATAATGTGACACTTCCTGCGTAGATCTGGGATGGTAATGGTGTAACAGCACGTCAGTGAAAATGGCCGATGTCGTCCCCTATCTCTACCGTCGACTTCCTTTCCCGCTACTCGTCATAACTCTCTCCTCTCTCCCTACGTCGGCATCTCCAACAGCCCTCCCCTTCAGTTGTCCACAGCGCTGCGTACCCCATCGGTTATTTAGCGGGTACATCAGTTTCGCCTCACAATCCATAAGGGTTAACTCTCTGCTGTGACTCATTCTGTTGTATATTTAACCATTATCGTATATTTCCAGCTTCCTTCTGTCCCGCTTACCCATTTATGCCCACCCAACCCTTCTTCTTCCTTTTCGTATGAATGACTATTGTGACAAGTTACTAACTTTGTTCAGATCGGGCTTGGCTAGAATGTATTTCCGATGCTTATCTGCCCAGGTTTATTCTATCCCTAACGTGCCTGGACACTTCAGTATGACCGTAAACGTTACGACACCCATTGCTGTTCCACGAGGTAGGTATGGCAGATGTGACTAATGTAACATTTACTACACTCTCTTCCCACACCACCCCCTGTCCTCTACCGACAAGAAAAGCCAATGCAGCCAGAGTGATCAAATTAAGGGGGACTTCCGACATGAAAAAATAGTAACTCCCGTATCTTGTATTTAAGGCAAATCCCGCAACGCCCTCCGTCGCAGGAGTATTAGCGAAAGCCTCCCATTGGGTTTCCCTTCCCTATTTCGAGGTGTAGTGGGACACATATCTTTGTATTGGTAGTAGTGAAAATGCGATTCCCAGGTCAGTCAGTCAGTCAGTGTTTTTGAGGGAAATAGGCTTACGCCTTTGAACTCCCTATTTGTACATTAAAAAATCTATAAACAAGCAAAAATGTGAAGAAATTACAGCATTAAGTGAATGCATACATTGATTCACATATGTCACTAGTCACATGGCTAAAACGTCACATAGTCCGCTTGTTGCTGCAGCATATATCTGTCAAGGCGACATTTAAATGCCTCCACAGATTGAGACATAACAACCGTCTCGGGCAGGCTATTCCACGGTTCCACGACGCGGTTGGAGAAGAAATATTTTCTCACATTCACTCTACCCTGTGGCACACGTAGCTTGAAGGGATGTCCCCGGAGGTGAGTTGTAGTGGCGAGTTGGAAAAAGTCATCGCGCCGAAGGGCACAATCCAAGCCGCGCACGATACGGAAAGTTTGTATCATGTCTCCGCGCAACTGCCTATAACTCAGAGGATAGAGATTAAGGTTAGTTAAGCGGATCTCGTATGGCAGTGCACTTTGACCTCTTATTAATTTTGTTGTTCGTCTCTGCACCCTTTCGAGCAGATCGTAATCCTGATGCGTCCAGGTGGCAAATCAAAAGAAAAGGAGGCGTTCACCGAGAGAGGTGTATTGGAGGTCTGACCTTTGGAGTAGTTGTTTTGTTAACCTTCAGAGACTGAGTAGTTATGCGCACAGTTCTCCTTATTTGGCGGGAAATGTTGGCTGTTGTCTGCCGGCTTCAATGCAGTTGCGGGAGGTGCAACTGCGTTGGAGAAACCGGCCGACGACTACAAACGCTAATGCACAAGCATAAGTTGACCGTGTGAAGGTCGGACCCAAACTCGGAGGTAGCAGCCTATGCCGCACAAATGGAACGCACCTTCAACTTTGAGGCCGTTGAGATTTTGGGCCTGGGCGATGATCAAACGTCAAGGCTGGTGCAAGAAGACTAGATATCCACCGACTGCTCCTTCCCCCTATCTGACTTTAAGAACCTTCTTAACGGGGGACGGTCACGGCGTAAGACAATCAGGTCCGTCAACAGTCTCCGCGGCCTACGAGGGCGGGGGCGATTCAGGTCACGGCGACATGCGGGTTGGATGCAGCCACACAGGCACCATTAGTGGGTCACGCATCAAACAAAGTGCGCCATATAAGGAAGGCTGTGTTCATGACTTTTCAGTCTCTGAAGATGGGTAGGTGAAACATCTACTCGAAATGTCAGACCTCCAATACACCTCTCCCGGTGAACACTTCCTTTCCTTTTGACATTCCTTAGCGTTAATTTTAAGAACTCATATATGAGACCATTCGTACAAGCCGTCAAGCTTTTCGTGCAAGGCTTATTCACATATGTCGCATCTGATCGCATCGGAATTCTAGTAAAGTCTGCAAACATGGCTTCTGTAGGTATATCATATAGTCACGGACATAGATCACAAACGTTAAAATCCCATCAACCGAACCTTGAAGTATTTCATTAGCAATGGCACCAGCACTGATTTCGCTTAGCTAATGAACACAGACCGTGAAAGCCCTCAATCGAAGTCCTCCTGTTTCTCCGTGCTTCAGACTCACACTTTTAAAGCAGTCCATTATGTGCAACACTAATGAAGGCTCTGTAATGTCTAAGTAATGAGTGAACTATGGGCGCTACAACCATCAGGCCAAGTCATAGGCTGCTAAACAACGGTATACTCTGGACATTCCGGACTGTCCGTAGCCAAGGTTGCTCACTAAGAACGGAGGACTTTTTGAGTTACGCGGTCATCCTTACAAAGTCAACAGTGAACGCACGCGGCTAGGCCGTAGGAAGTTTTCATTCGGAGAGCGGGTTATCCGACTATGAAACTCGCTGCCAAGTAAGTTCGTGACGGTCGACACAATTTGCATATTTGAATGAAAACTTTTAGCTTGATTTTCGACAGAAATCGGCTTTTACAACGTGACTACTCACAGTCATATCACTTGCTCATACACTATCTTTCCATACTGACTTACAGTGAACAGATGCGCTTCCTTGTCATAACGATTGTACTGTGATCCGATCACATTGCAAAGGTCTACAACATTATTTTGAGTGCGAATACGCGAAAGCATTGTACATAAATAGGGTCGTCAAGGGCTCTGCCTCTAACCCTTCAAATGCAAACATATATAAGTCCAGAGTAACAAGAGGGGATTAAAGACCCCCGATGTATTATTGTGTACTCAATCCTGAGTCACCTTTTGGGTTAGCACGGACCATTGGCGCAGCCAGGACATGCGCTGGCCGTGCTTAGTCATGTCCCAGAAAGAACGGGACTGTGGTGCAAACAGTTTACATAGGTTTGTGCCAAGGCGCCGGACTAACGTTAGACTTTTATCGTCTTGTCCATTCTCCGTATACAAGCTTGATGTTTAAGCGCAGCAGAAAGTACCCTGGAAGGACGCGAGCGTTCTCACGCACGTGTTCTTGTCCGATCATGTCATCAAGCCATTCGACTTTTAAATATAAGATCTGTCTGCTTTCTGTTTTTTATGCGTATCCCAGTCGGGCTATGAATACCCATGATGGTGTCGAACACGAGTGATTCGTAATTGATAAGCCGTTTCTCCAGCAGACCGTTATTTGTGCCTTGAGGTAGTGTCTTTTGGGCGGTGATGGTCCCTCGAACTTCACACCTGTAGCTTTCACATTGTGACTGATACTAAGGTATTTTGAGGCCTGTTCCTATCCATTGGTCTTGCCGAGTTTAAGGAGTAGGTAACCAAAGTATCGGCGACTGTTTCCGCTTTGCACCTGCATCGTCCTACCTAACCACATCAGCGTAACTCATCCAACGCCGTTCACGTTGTCGTTCTCGTCTGATACTCTCCAACCTCCTTTGGTATCATGTCAGCATTGGTGTTAAGGCCCGACATTCTGTCAATTTCTGCTACTTCCTGCCTTTTCAGGAAAATCCCATGGGGCGCGGAAAAATACTTTGACTTTTCCCAAAGCCTTGCCTACCGCGCTTACTGCACCTGCGACAACCGGAGTGGCAGACGTTCTTTGGTCGATACTGGTGCGCATTTGGGTGTCATCCCTCCCACGACAGCCTACCGTTTATCCCGCAGCCCTGACCTATTTTCCCTGGATGCCAACGCTACCTTCGGTTGCTGTTCTCTGTCTGTGGACATCGATCTCCGGCGTCCGTTTCCTCGGTCGTCGCCGTTGCTGATGTCTCATGTATCATTCTTGATGCGGATTACCTTGTAGCAGAGAGTCTGGTAACTAAAACATTGTCGCTTCTCATCTTC